GCTTTCACGAATGTCTCGTCGTCCCAGCCTTCGTTATGCAAGGCCAGAAACTCTTTCATGGTGGGGAACTTGACGTTCCAGGACGTGGCTTCGATGGCTTCTTTCATGATGACGAGCCAGGACGCTGATATACCTTTGGTTAGAGATTGATCAAGAGACAGATTCAACCAAACTAGAGAAAAGGGGAAGGGCAAGTAAGGAATGAACATACAAGGTCTCCACGTCGAAGTCGCAAGCACACCCCCGGACTGAAGGATACGGAAGCATTCTACCATTAACAAAAACACACACAAACACACATTGTCAGCTTCTTCACTTCGAACCAATCACCAATCCAAACAATATCAGCGAAACACCAGCATGAATACTCAGTACTCACCTCTCATCGCAGCCCTCGCATCAGGTATCATCATGAACGCTACCAACACACACATCACCAATCAGCCAATCATCCTTTGAATTATAAAACATCCCACCCACTACCTCCATAACTAATCAAATAGAATAGATATACCACTCACCAAAAGCCGACAACACATGCGTATACCTATCCCCGGGCAACCCCGTACACTGAGCATCCACGACCTTCGCCTCAGCATTCACCCACCCTTCCCTCTCGCTCCGCAACTTGGTGTACTCTACCATCAGCTCCGTCACATCTCCGCAGGTCAGCGTCCAGTTTCTCTTGACCTCTTCAGGCAATGTGCTGTTCAGGTAGCTGGATATGATTCCCAGTCCGCAGGCGTTGTCGAAGACGACCAGGGGCTGCTTGTTATTATCACGGGGGGTAGATAGGATGCCGGAGTGCTGGACGAGAGGGGCCACGAATACGCCGGTGAGTTTCTCGGCCAGGTGGTAGCGGGATACGAAGGCTGGGGTGAGGTATGAGGAGGGGGAGATTTTGGGGGGCATTTTGATAGACGGGTGTTGGGTGTTTTGGGTTATAAAAAGGGGCTTGAGTTGGTAGTGTTGAGAGAGATGAGTACTGGTTTGGGTGATGATGGGGATTGAGTGAGGGATGGCTTGAGAATAGGCACGCTTTTATACATCTCTTTTGGCTGCTTCATGTTGCTCGTTTTACTGCTTGGCTGTGTGCTGAGGCGCGAAGGATGGGAGTATGTCTCCGATATGTCTCCGCGAGCACCTTGGTGACTGATTCTCAGGGACTTGGATTGGATGGATGTATTATCAGCTGATATTCTATGTTCTAGACCAGAAGTAGGTATCATTGCTAAAGGCGAACGGATCCGATTGTATGGTTTACTTGATTAGTTGGTAGAGATGTCTCCGCAGGCTGTGCGTATACTTCCATCCCGGTATGCCATGATGGCACACCACGACTTTCAAAGACCCAGGGTTGGAATTATTTCCATAACGCATCAGAATAATATTAAAAAATATAAATTAGACAAATGGATCAAAAGAGAATGCCTTACCATCTTGTTTGACGATGAACAAAAAGAAAAAAAAAAAAAAAAAAAAAAAAAAAGAAACGTCCCGGGAGAGGATCGAACTCTCAACCTCACGATTAACAGTCGTACGCGCTAACCAATTGCGCCACCGAGACGATTTGTTGCACTACCAAAATTTCTTATGCTATATAAGCCATACCATTGGTCTTCGACTTTGTAACCTCAAGGTAACAGATATGGTTTGTGTGTTGAGACGTATGTAGTACATGCCGTGAAGCCATGACTGCTCGCGGTGATTGGGTAATATTATCGAGGCCAACGAAAGAATTTTATATGCAGTCTCTAGCATGCCTAGGTATACCCAGTCCCTCAAATCAACTACACTAAATAGAGAGAAATGAACAGGGTTGTACTATACTCTGAAATTGGCACTCCATCCTATGCGGCCAGCAGACTAACCTATAACGCGAGAGATGACACAAGTAGCCGTACGACTTCACTGTGTCATCGATTATTAGCTGTGTAATTGATATTGTCATTGGATCCTGCAAGCTGTCGTGGTGAGTGCCAGCAAGCGAAGTAACCATGCTGATTACATATTACTCTCAGCAACCCTTTCGGGTGTGAGCGATGGTAGGCTGCGTGGGGTACGAGAGCCGGATGATAGATTATTAGAGTCAACTACTGATAATAGCAGCATGGCAATCGCAGTGGGGATGGTGTTTATTGGGTCACCGTCTGCTGCATTTGCATCGTAGTGGGTACGACGATTTTTGTCGGCTTTTGTATACGATGGTCTGTTAATGGCCCGCTATCGTCACCGCATATGCCTTTTGCAGTCGCTATCCAACGCGACCCTGGCTTCTGCCGGTGTGGCACGATACCACCTTCCGATGGCCAAATTCCTCGGGGTATCGAACAGTACTTGGTGTCATGGTTATTGCCCCGGGCGTCTAGGGTTTTCGGGGCTTTCGATCGGCAATTAATGAGCAGACAATGCTATCTAAGAGAAGGGGGCAAAAATCGAGACCGACGACAACACCAAATAGTATACAAAAAGTGGACGTCCCGGGAGAGGATCGAACTCTCAACCTCACGATTAACAGTCGTACGCGCTAACCTTTATATTGAATTAGTAAATGATTGATCGGATAAATTTGATGAAGGACAAGCTTACCAATTGCGCCACCGAGACGACTTGTTGGTGCCGGCGATGAGATCGGGCATCGTCAATGCTCTATTCCAAAGGGCGATGAATATTGGACGACGCACACCCATTCCCTACATCCAACCCATGGTCTGAATACAATGCAAACTGCGTGTTAATTTGGTATATATATACTCGATTTTACACACAACAATTGATATGACACTATATTATTTCTGTAGCTATATGCTGTGGCCGACATTTCTTAGGATTATCAGAACTCATACATTGTGTTGATTCTATATATCCGTCGCTGCGGTGTGACAATATACTTCCCGGAAGTACGAACGCTACCTAAGCCAGTCATGTAAATGAGCCAAGAGACACAGACAACTGCAAACTGACACACACCCCGGCACTCAAGGGCCGTGACGTATACCAGTGATATTTCAATTACCGCCGCTAAGAAGTGAAGCGCATCCGACCAAAAGAATGCCATGTCGCGCTTATTAGCACCGCAGATGAGTAAGCTATATAGAAAAACACCGAGGCTGAGGGTATCTTTCTGGCAGGATCGGACACGAAGGGTGATAAGGTAAGTAATACTTAGACATATGGCACCAATATACCGTGGCTATTATGCCAATTAGCCCGTCAACACCGCCCAAAATGCAACAGACGAACTGCATACTGGCTACAGCCGAGGGACTACCAGCTCCAACAAAATTCGACGTGCACTCCTAGCTTCCAGGGATCGCCATGTTAAGCAGAGCACTGCCTCAGTCTTTGAGAGCCGCCCAGCCCGACACCAACTTGCTTCAGTAAGACATCGCGAGAAAGATGGCGGCTGTTGAGCCCGGTGCCGAGTTACGCATGGTATATATACTGATGCTTGGTGATTAAGAGAAACCCGCCGTCAGGATGATCCCGCCGCCTGGTGCGCTCTAGGTAGTGATTCCTCCAGATTTAAACCGCGCGCCAACCAGATGAACTATTAGTATTCCGAGGAAACGGACTCAGTTTGCACATCCCTTATAAGCTCAGTTGGATGCGGGATCAACGGGATCCTCACGCCCACGCCAGATAAATCGACAGAGAATTGTCACTGGATTTCACTAAATATTGACTGCACCGTAACCACATCCAAACAAACCATAAGGGGCGATGTTCCCATGACGCCAACTCTATTGCTCCAAAACTAGCCACTTTATTTTCTACGTGTTGTGCCTGCCAGAGCAAAACTTTCATTGGTAATGTAGTGTGAATGAACAAAAATTCAGGCATTACCTAGCCAAATATGTGTGAATGGCTGATGGATCTTAGACTCCACACCTAGCAAGCCTTACAATACACATTTCGATAGATGCCTGTGCGGTGTACTGTTCGGTAGGATGAGAGAAAGCTTGTCAAATTACACCTTCCTTCACATACGCAACAAAATTGCAAATAAACAACAAGTCGTCTCGGTGGCGCAATTGGTTAGCGCGTACGACTGTTAATCGTGAGGTTGAGAGTTCGATCCTCTCCCGGGACGCAACTTTTTTCTTTTTCTCTGTTTGCTTGGACCATGCCGCAAAGTCCAATGGAACTATGGCTTGTCCCGCTCTTTCTTTTCGTTCTACACGTCTGGACAAAGAGTCATTACCAATTTTATATCAAACATGTACATGGAACTCCTCAGTACTAGTTGGGCTTCTGTTTTTCTGGACGTGGGCTCATTGTATGGTATACATCGTGATTGTAAGGCCGTTCGCCATCCGTAGATGCGGCGGAGAAATTGTATACAGTGTTTACACTGAAAGTGCGTATTTGTATTAGATGGGTGTACACATACTGGGTATACTTGCACCAGTGGTTCTCATGGCAACACGTAACGTACAGGGCCTGTCAACATGGCGCCCATGACAGGCTTAGTATCATGGATCTGCCTTGCACAAATTACAATCGACTATAGGGCTCATGGTTGAACTGCAGGGCATCCTCTAACACTTGATGGAATTTAACGGTGCGCTGCGACAACAGGTTCTATGATTGTCCCAAGAAGTAGTGAAGCGAGATCAAGATGTTAAAAAACGCGAGATTGAACATCAAGAAGCGATCATCACCCTCTAGGCGGATATGAGAGCGATCAAGAGCCAATTAAACATTACTCAGAAAGTTACAGGAATTATGTCGGAGAATCACCAACCAAGCCAGCAACAAAACCGACAGAATCCCTCAATCCTTGGAAATCCAGGAACTGCGAAAGGAAGTATCAGAATCACCGCGATAGGTCGCGATCTCCGCCACGACATGTCTACAACCCAGACGTCACAAGTCAACGCCTGCGCGGGAAGAAGTTAGGCAACACTTGCAACATCATCGATGGTAACTTCTTCAACGAGGGCAACCCGGGCGGATCTGGGTCTATCAGTGATAAGACTAGACACCAACCTAGCGTCCCCAAATGCTATTAAACTTCTACAACATCAAATGCAGCCCCAGCAAATCGTCGACAACTGCCTTGGGACTCCAGGGCGAGACGGAGAACATCCGAGTTGAAGTAGATAAAATAGCACCGCACAACATTGTCAAAGCTATTGTGGAACGAGACCAAAATGTGAAGCTACTCCGGGACCCATCAGAATCGCTGCAGGCTCTCCCGGGAGTGAAGCTTGAGTGAGAACATCGGTATCCAATCAGATTAGATGCAGTCCGGAGAATCGACGCCTTTGATGGTCTGGGAAAGGAGAAGAACGACTCCTAGGAAAATATAGCTGCAAAGAGCAGAGGTTTTCAGATTATATCCAGGAGTAGTCCAGTGGCTGAGAGGTCGGAGGTCTTAAGACCAGCTCTGACCAGTCCGCCGCCACAACTGCCAACAGTATGGACATCAAGCAGCTAGCATACTGCATACAGTTCCGCTTCTCCGTACACTCCGGACCCCTCCGGATATTGCCAACAAAGCAGCCTTTTCCTTCCTCGTAACCATGATTTGTCATTTCGCGCATACCCCAGCGCTGATAATACGGATACGCGAGCAATTGGTATTATGGAGCTTCTGGAACGGTTCCAACTTACAACCTACAGTCAAACCACATACATAATCGAGTTAGATTAGCCCTATACAGGAATAGCGCATAAGAAGGGGTCCAATGTCTCGCTATACCTAATGCGTGCTTCCAAACCTTTGTCGATTTGGCCTCGTCAAGAGCGTCAAATTTTGTTGGTTTTATTGTGCAATAACCCTGTCAAATCTGTGATAGATTTCTTCAATCGTGGAGTGTTCAAAGCGCAATCAAATGCTGGTTTCTATAGTGCCATCTTTCATGATTTGTCTGAGGATCCGCTAATGAATTTGCCATAGAGAGTAATCGATTTTGATAATCAATTCAAACAGGTGTTCTAGGCTCATGACAAATATACGATCGATGTTCTACGGCATCGCTATCTTTTCTACTCTTGGGTTGATTATATGGGGAACATGCTTTAGAGCAGTTGAAAGTTGAAGGCTGCTGAAACTCCCTTATGACAAAGCATCATTACACTCGTCCCAGTGGCCTGTTAGATCAATGTTAGCATGTAGCTCCTGTCAGGCCGGCAAATACCCGGACATGCGGCCCTCGGCTGCCCATGTGTTTGCTATTTGGAATTATTCCGACACTGTCCGACTCATAGGAATCGGCCTCCCTCCAGAGATAACCGAATTGGGAAGTTCTCGTGATATTCGATGCCATAGTTATTCGCTCAGAGTGATGTGGGTCGGGTAGTATATAAAAGTTTGAAAGGCGCATTCATTAAAAGATAATTCCGAAGGAATCCAAAACAGCTCATATCCTCGCTCCTCGCCTTTTTCGATTAGCCCAACAACAACCATGAAGACCTTCACTTCTGCCTTGATCGGTGCTGCTGCATTGGCACAGTACGTCAATTCCTCTCCTCTTTCTGGTGCTGCTGGACTAGGATTTCCCAATGTGACCGGGTTGGCGAATCCTACCGTTCACGTTTCCAACGGCGGATCAGCCCATTGCGTCTCCGGCACCGTTAAGGTCAACGCAACAACTGACAAAAACCTCAAGTTCGCGTACAACTTGCCCTCTAATCAGTCGCAAGTAACCCAGACACTCGTCACATTGTGGTCGTCAGGCGGGGATGGCTACCTGAAATCCCTCACGAGCAGTACTCAGCGGGTCAGCGGCAGCTACGATATCGAGGCGACATATTGTCTGCCTGCAGACGAAACCTCAAAGACTACCAAGGTTCAACTCCTCACTCACGGCATTGGCGGGGACCGCCACTACTGGGACTTTGCGTCGGGATACAGCTACATCGACACCGCCGCGGCCGCAGGGTATGCCACATTCCTGTACAACCGTCTCGGCGTTGGCGCATCATCAAAGGAAGACCCATTGAATGTCGTGCAATCGCCACTTGAGATGGAAATTCTTAAGACACTGGCAAGCAAACTTCGCCAAGGTACCCTTGGAGACCGTGCCTTTTCGACTGTGGTGGGCGTAGGCCACTCGTTTGGGAGCATCCTGACCCAGAGTGTCACCGCGGCTTACCCCAGACCCTCGACGCCGCAGTGCTGACGGGATTTGCACTCGATTCGAACGGACTGCCTGGTTTTGGCCTAGGCCTTAATGCAGCAATTGCGTCGGAAACCCAGCCGTACCGCTTCAGTGGACTCTCTGCTGGATATTTTGTCGCTGGGACGGCCGTATCGAATCAAATTGCATTTTCCTACGACCCGGGTTTTGACCCCGAAATCTTATCGCTGGCAGATGCCACCAAGGGAAGCTTCACGCTGGATGAACTTTTCACGTTAACCTACGTTGTCAATGCAACAAGCGAATTCCAAGGTCCCGTTGCGGTCGTTGCTGGAAATGAAGATCTGCCTTTTTGTAACGGAAACTGCAGTTCTCCGACCAATATCTTGGCTGGTCTTGTGCCTGCGCTGTATCCGGAAGTATCAGAGGCAAAGACTGCTACCTATGTGGCTCCTGCTGTAGGCCACAACTTGAACTTGCATTATGCGGCACTGGGTGCTTTTGATTTCATTCAGGACTTTCTCGAAAAGCACAATGTGTAAGGGTCGAAAATCGAGGTTTCATACAAATATATAGATTTTCAGGTTGCGACTTTATTTACTCATTGACCTCCTTGTCAAACTTGATGTACATTATCGCAATGCGGCCAACATCACACCTGCATTGCACATCAAGTCACATGTACCAGACAATGCCATTCAATCCATTTATGACCAAACTTACTTCATACTCTATGTCCTAAAAAAGAATCATTTAGTAAACCACGATGAATTATATTTGTATGGAAGAGATGTTTGAACTAACCAATTGATCGAAGGACTTGACACGTACATACATAGCAACTCCACTTTTTGTGAACATCTGGAACGTTGAAGCTACGCAGCACCCACTACATGCCTTAAGCAATTGAGATATCTGGAATCACGAGCGAATGCCACGGCATAAAAACGAGAAATAAGATAAATCAAAAAACTAAAAATGAATATCGGTACACAAAAGATATATTTATTGTGAGGTGCTTATCAAAAAGTCTTGCATGTATCAAGCGAAAGAACTCGGGGTGTTGTTTTAGGGTACTCAAGTTAGTTGTCTGAAGAATCAATAACACACAGCCGATCGTTAAGTAGCGTCCGCTATTTATGCAACTAGTATCATGTCAACCTTCGGTCTGTGGGGAATTGTTACGCACACCACCAAGATATACTGATGCAAGCCTACCAAATCCACTTATTGGGTACAAATAGTGTCCTATCCAGGTCCACAGTTTGTGTTGGATATCGCAACAGCATATAAATGAAACGACATGGGTAAATGTTTTCTCGATGCAAGACTTGTGTACTTGGTGCTGTGGGTTCTGGAAACCATTCCCTGGATTTTTTCTTAAAAATGAGAAACAAATTGTGTGTGTGCTGGGTAGTAACGGTTACGAGCAAAAAAGTGGCGTCCCGGGAGAGGATCGAACTCTCAACCTCACGATTAACAGTCGTACGCGCTAACCAATTGCGCCACCGAGACGACTTGTTAGGGAAAAAACCACTATTAGAGTTACATAACCTAAATATGTTTTTTGACTGATAACCATCCCTCTTATCACGTGTAACCCCTCCATGATTACATTATCACGATCGCGCGCACCAACCCCGAAAGAGCAAACCGTAAACAGCGCTGGGCCCCGACGGCAAAACACCGCCCGCAAAATCGCTCCCCAGACGTCAATCAATCCCGCAACTGTTCTCTCGGTCCCCCCTCCCATGCACCTGATCATCTAGTTCATGGGGCTGGATCAGAGTCGCAACAATGAGGATTACGGAGATTATTATTGACGTAAGTTCATATTCTCCGCTGCCCGGAGAATGTCCGATCGCTGACTGTCAACACACAGGGCTTCAAATCGTACGCCGTGCGTACGGTGATCTCAGGATGGTATGCGCAGATTGAGATGCTTCCCGTTGTGCAAATTGCCTACCGATGACATACCTAACACATATTACGCAGGGACGAATCCTTCAACTCCATCACCGGTCTCAACGGTAGTGGTAAATCGAACATCCTCGATGCCATCTGTTTCGTCCTCGGTATCACGAACATGTCCACTGTTCGCGCGCAGAACCTGCAGGATCTCATCTACAAACGTGGCCAAGCCGGTGTGACCAAGGCCAGTGTGACGATTGTCTTCGATAACCGCGACACCGCGAAATCGCCGATCGGATTCGAGGAATATGCGACCATCTCGGTGACTCGGCAGATTGTTCTTGGAGGCACGAGCAAGTACCTCATCAACGGACACCGCGCGCAGCAGCAGACTGTGCAAAACCTCTTCCAGAGTGTGCAGCTGAACATCAACAATCCCAATTTCTTGATTATGCAAGGTCGTATCACGAAAGTCCTGAATATGAAACCCGTTGAAATTCTGTCCATGATCGAGGAAGCGGCCGGTACACGGATGTTTGAGGATAGGAGGGAAAAGGCTGTGAAGACAATGGGCAAGAAAGAGCTCAAGTTGCGCGAAATCGAAGAGCTTCTTAAGGAAGAAATTGAGCCCAAGCTCGAGAAGCTGCGATCCGAAAAGCGTGCTTTCCTCGACTTCCAGCAGACCCAGAATGACTTGGAGCGCTTGACTCGCTTGGTGGTTGCCCACGACTACCTCAGGGGCAACGAGAGGTTACGGGTTTCCGGAGAAGAATGCGAGCAAAAAAGGAACAAGGTGCAGGCGCTGGAAGACAATGCGGCCAAGCTGAAGAGCGAAATTGCTCACCTTGAGGAAGATATGAAGCGGGTCAGAGCAGCCCGTGATAAGGAACTACGGAAGGGTGGTAAATTTCAGGCTCTGGAGGATGAGGTCAAGTCCCACTCGCATGAACTTGTTCGTTTGACCACCGTTTTCGATCTCAAGAATGCCAGCATTGCTGAAGAGAAAGAAAAGAGGAAGGAAGTCCAGAAAACCGTGACGGACCTGGAGAAGGTCCTCAAGGAGAAGCAGAAGGTCTACGATAAGCTTCAGGCGCAGTATGATGCCGCTAAAGCAGAGCTTGACGCCCAGACAGCTGAAGTGGAGCAAAAGGAAGAATTGCTCCAGACCCTGCAGACTGGTGTCGCTTCCAAGGAAGGCCAGGAAAGTGGTTACCAGGGCCAGCTCCAGGACGCTCGTAACCGTGCCAACACGGCCGCCACTGAACAAGAGCAGGCCAAGCTCAAGATTGCGAACTTGGAGAAGAGGATCAAGGAAGAGGAGCCGCGCGCGAAGAAGGCCAAGGAACAGAACTCCGGTCTCCTGAAAGAATTGGAGGGACTGAAGTCGCAAGCTAAGAAGCTTGACTCAGAACTTTCTAGGCTAGGATTTGAGCCGGGTCGCGAGGAGGAGCTTTACCAGCAGCAGACTGAACTTCAGAAAGAGATCCGTGAGCTGCGTCAGAGAGCAGACGGCCTCCAGAGGAAGGTTGCAAATGTCGATTTCAACTACAGTGACCCCCATCCTCACTTCGATCGTTCTAAAGTCAAGGGTCTGGTTGCGCAGCTCTTTAGTCTTGACAAAGAGAAGCTTCAAGCCGCTACAGCACTGGAGATCTGCGCGGGTGGCCGTCTGTACAACGTTGTTGTCGACACCGCCGAAACTGGTACCCAGCTGCTTCAGAACGGAAGACTGAAGAAGCGTGTGACCATCATCCCCCTGAATAAGATATCCTCATTTGTTGCCTCGGCAGAGAAGATTGGGGCGGCGCAGAGGATTGCTCCCGGAAAGGTTGATCTTGCCTTGTCGCTCATCGGCTACGACGAGGAAGTCACTTCGGCGATGAACTACGTCTTCGGTAACACCCTGATTTGCAATGATGCCGATACAGCTAAGCGGGTCACGTTTGACCCTTCCGTTCGGATTAAGAGTGTAACGCTCGAGGGTGATGTCTACGACCCATCCGGTACTCTGTCCGGAGGTAGCGCTCCTAACACGAGCGGTGTGCTTGTCACCCTGCAGAAGTTCAATGAGATTACTCGGGAGATCCGGAGCAAGGAGCGACAGCTGGCTACTGTGGAGGAAACAATGAGGAAGGAGAAGAAGAAGCTGGATGCTGCTCGTACAATCAAGCAAGAGCTGGACCTTAAGACCCACGAGATAAAGCTTACGGAGGAGCAGATCAGCAGCAACTCGTCTTCTTCGGTAAGCCCCACTTCCATGTTTCCTAGACGTATAACTGACAGAAACAGATCATTCACGCCGTAGAAGAGATGAAAGCGAACATCGAGCAGCTGAAGAAGGACATCTCTGACGCGAAAACTCGCCAGAGCGAAGCATCCAAGGATATCAAGCGCATCGAGAAGGATATGAGTGAGTTCAACGACAACAAGGACAGCAAACTTGCGGAACTGCAGTCTTCCCTGGATTCCCTGAAGAAGAGTCTGGCCAAGAACTCCAACTCGGTCAAGACCCTGCAGAAGGAGCTTCAGAACTCCCGGTTAGAGCTGGAGCAAGTTGGCGGTGATCTGTCGGCGGCCGAGGAACAAAACGCCGAGGCCGAAAACACCCTCAAGGCTCAGATGGAAGAAATCCAGTCGCTGAAGAGAGAACAGGCTCGGATCAAGGTAGGAATATCAAGTCACGGCTTTAAGACCATCTGCTAATGATCTATAGGACGCCCATGATATTGCCCAGGCTCACCTGGAGGACGAAAGAGCTAAGCTGACCGGTTTTGATGATGAGCTGCGTGAACTCGAGCGGACGAAGCAGTCGAAGAACTCCCAACTTACGGAAGAGGGCCTGGAAGTCCAGAAGCTGGGACATCAGCTCGAGAAACTGCAGAAGGAGCAACAAGCCGCGGCGCAGACGGTGGCTCATATGGAGGAGGAGCATGAATGGATCGCTGATGAGAAGGATAACTTCGGACGGTCCAACACGGCATACGATTTCAAGAACCAGAATATCGCCGAGTGCAAGTCGACGCTGCGCAACCTGACGGAGAGATTCCAGGGCATGAAGAAGAAGATCAACCCCAAGGTGATGAACATGATCGACAGCGTCGAGAAGAAGGAGGCTGCCCTGAAGAACATGATGAAGACCGTCATTCGTGACAAGAGCAAGATCGAGGAGACCATCATCAACTTGAACGAATACAAGAAGGAGGCCCTCCACAAAACATGGACTAAGGTCACAGCCGACTTTGGACAGATTTTCAACGACCTGCTACCCGGCAGTTTTGCCAAGCTGGAGCCCCCTGAGGGCAAGGATATCACTGAAGGTCTGGAAGTTAAGGTGTCTCTGGGCAAGGTCTGGAAGCAGAGTTTAACCGAGTTGAGTGGTGGACAACGGTACGTGGATTTCCGATGGGTTACTCTTTCCTGGCTACGAGCTAACATTTGTCTAGGTCTCTCATTGCGCTTTCGCTAATTATGGCGCTACTACAATTCAAGCCGGCGCCAATGTACATTCTGGACGAGGTTGATGCCGCTCTGGATCTGTCGCATACCCAGAACATTGGTCGGTTGATCAAGACGCGATTCAAGGGATCGCAGTTCATCGTTGTGTCGCTGAAGGACGGCATGTTCCAGAATG